CCTAAAAATAGACTCCTCAGCTTCTCTCCTTTCTGACTTTTTTTCCTCCAGACTCCTCTGAGCTTGTCCCCAGTTTTGCTTTAGACTCCTGAAATATTTATTCATTATTTTTTTAATATTTTAACTTTTCTTTTAGGTTGAGGGGTACATGTGCAGGTTTGTTATATAGGTAAACTCATGACTCAGGGGTTTGGTGTACAGGTTATTTTGGACTTCCAAAATATTGAAATAATACTCATCTAAATGAGATTGTTCATCGGTAAGAAGAAAAATCACTCCTGCAACCCTGACAGACTGTTTCTCTTGACCTTTAACAGACTGTAATGGGCACGTTGTTGTGTTTGTTCTGCTCTGCTCTGGGTGAGGGCAGCGTGACATTTGCATCATCTCTCTAGGCCTCTGCGTAATTATGTTGTTATGAATTACTGTCTGTCTTGAATGGAGTCCATCTAGCTGAGTGTCCTGCTGCTTGTAGGAAGAGGGAGACAGAGACAGAGACAGGGACCGGGAGAAACAGAGAGGGGGAGAGAGACAGAACAGAGAGAAACAGAAAGGGAGAGACAGACAGAGAGAGGCAGAGACAGAGAGAAACAGAGAGCGGGAGAGACAGAGACAGAAATAGAGAGAGAGAGAGAGAGAGAGAAAGAGAGGGGGAGAGAGACAGAGACAGAGATAAACAGAGAGAGGGGGAAACAGAGAAACAGAGAGGGGGAGAGAGACAGAGACAGGGAGAAACAGAGGGAGACAGAGATGGAGAAACAGAGAGAGACACACAGACAGAGATGGGGAGACAGAGATGGAGAAACAGAGGGAGAGATAGACAGAGACAGGGAGAAACAGATGGCGGGGAGACAGACAGAGAAACAGAGAAAGGGGGAGAGAGACAGACAGAAACAGGGAGAAACAGAGAGGAAGAGAGAGACAGGGAGAAACAGAGAGAGAGAGAATAGTTATCTAGAAAAGAGAACAGATACGTAATTTGGATTCATGTCTAGACAGAGATAAGGAGAAAAAGAGAGAGACAGAGAGAGCGGGTGGGTGGGGAGTGGAATCGTTGTCCAGAAAAGGAAAAGAAATTTAGATTGACATCTTTGTCATTTCCATTTGGTCTAACACTTGGCCTACATTCAGTTGCCTAAAGCTGTCCTGGAACCCCATTCACCTCAGACAATACTTCTGTCACTGGCATCGAGGAGACAACACTAAGTGGTGTTTACATTTGATTCCCTTCGGCTTTGTGACCCTTGGGATCCAGATACCTGCCTATGAGTGAGTTTGTAGATGTGATATTTAAGTTCTGCTGATTGTCAGGGAACAGTGCCCTCTTTCGGGGAAAGCAGATGGATCGGGAGCTACCGTTCCTGTCCGAGCCTTCTCCTGGAGGCCGGGAGGCTGTCAGGGTGCAGCAGGGAACAGAGCTGCCTGCAGGAGAGAGGTTGACGGAAGACTCTTCCTGCTTCCGGGAGCAGGTTCTCCTATCCTGAGTCCTTCTCTTCAAATATAACTTTTCCAAGTTAATGTTTTTTCAATAGAGAAATCAGTGTGTGTGACTTTTATGCAGCAGAACTTAGGAAAGACACTATTCGTGTAATAAAATAGGCAAAAAAAAGTTAGGAATTCATCCAGCTGGGTTGCATTCTAATTTGTCTAATGAGCTGAGTCAAGTAGCATTCTGTTTTTGTTTTTTAATTAAAAGTACTTTGTCGTCAATGTGAAAAAACAATCTATAGAAGTAGAGATGTTTGAGAAGAGTGCTGGTAATGAAAACAGTAGTGAGTGTTAATCCAGCTCTGTAGCACTTTGCCCGCATTGCTTCCTCCCATCCTCTTATGGTCCTGTGGGCCAGATACTGTTGTGCAAAGGTCTTTGGCAAAGATCTGTTTAATGTTTTTCACCCTGTGTCTTAGTCTATTTGGGCTTCTGTAACAAAATACCCTAGACTATGTGGCTTTTAAGCAATAGAATATTATTTCTTATGGTTCTGGAGGTTGCAAAGTCCAAGATCAAGGTGCTAGCAGATTCAGCATCTGGTAAAGGCCACTTCCTGGTTCACAGGGGTCACCTTCTAGTTGTGTCTTTACATGGTGGAAGGGGCAAGGGGGCTCTCTGGGGTCTTCTTTATGAGGGCATCAGTCCCATTCATGAGGGCTCCTCCTCCATGACCCAATCACCTCCCAGTGGCCCTACCTCCTAATACCATCACCTTGGAGGTTAGGATTTCAACATATGAATGGGGGGACACATTCAGATGATAGCAGGCCACCATTCTCAAACTTATTAGAAAATAGGGTCCCTTTTTTCATGGAACCCCCGCTTCCATCTCTGAGGACACAGGTGGTATTCTGCAGACATAGTTTGGGAAATGAGAGAAGTCTAGCTATACACTGCTGGGTAGGGGCCGAGCTGGGAACAGACACATTTGCCTCATCTCCCCTTTCCAGATTCTTCCCACTAGTTGTGTTGATGGTGATTTGGGATTGGTCTTTCACATTCAAAGCTAGGGCCATTCACTGATTAATTCACTCATTCTCGTTCACTAAAAAATATCTACCATCACACTGTGCCAGAAGACCATAGCTAGAACAGTGTCCCTGCATCTGGAAAGTCCCAGTGCCATAAGAAAACAGACACACGGACTGGAGTGGGAGGTAAGAACTGCCGAGTACTATCTACTGAGCACTGCAGGAGCTGGGGTGGGGGCTGGCCAGCTCTACCTGGGGAACTGGGGAAGGCTTCCTAGGAGAGGGATGGGCACAGCATCCCCAGGGAGCAGAAGAGTCCTCCAGGTGAAGAAAACAGGGAAGGGGAGAGTTGAGAATGTGTTTGGCAGCATGTGGGTGCCATGGCTTTCAGCAGGGGGGCTGGTGGAGGAGCACAGATGGCCTTTAAAGTCAACTCTGAGTCACTTCTGAAATTACAGAAATTCGAAGAGAAGGATCTGGAAATCCTCCCACAAGTTATTTGACCTTCTGGTCTCTCAATAACGATTTGGTATCTCGCTAATAAATGGAAGTTCTCTGCAAAAATTGTGTCATACAGGAAAAGTTGCAGAAAAATTTTTAGAGAACAAAAATCATTCTCCTGTCTTCACCTGTAAACCATAGAATTTACATTTTTCCTAAATGGCTTTTTGCTAGCAAGTTGCCCCTGGATTCTCCATTCATGCCTCGTCTACGAAAATGACTGATCAGAGGTTAAATAAAACTTCCAAAGCAGGGCTAGGAGTTATTCAACTTCTCTATGTGATAGTGGTTGAGATAGAAATTATTTCCTATCTTTTTTCTCGTTGCCTTGACAACTGGGTTTTTTTTTTTTATTAAGCTTTTGATTTTTCTCAACAATATGAGCTGCTTCTTTTGGTTGAGCTGAGACAGGTGTACAGATTTATATCTTATTCAGAGAGTCTCTAGTGTAAATGTTTATGAGATATCGATTTTTTATTTTTCAAAATTCTTCAGTGTTGAACAGAGTAGATAATTGCATAAAACCGTTTGCCTGCCTGATTAGCCAAACAAAGGCAAATCAATTGTGATTTTCCAAGTCTGATATCGAATACTGTAAAAAATGATTCTGATTCATTTTTATAAAATGTCATGGAATATTTTAACATTTGGCTTTTTAATGTCCCTGACAAGGTCTGTGTGAAAATTGTTTCCATATCCCAGAAGTGCACATCTTCCCTCCTGTACTTCCCCTTGTTCCCATGGCTCGAGCCACAGTGGCTTCTCATCCTTGCTAAGCTGTTCCCATCTCATAGCCTTTGCCATTTCCCCTGTCTGGAACCTGCCTGCCCAGGATATTCCCATTGCTCCCTCCCTTGTTGCATTTATGTCTCCGATTCAATGCCACCTTCTCTTCCTGGACCTTCCTATGTAAAACAGCATTCTTACTCGTCACTGGCCAGTCAGGAGGTGGGAGGATCCCTTTCTGGAAAAAACAGTTCAGTCATCCTATATGAAAGCCCCCAGACCATAAGCCCTAACCCTAGCAAGAGCTTCCAATGAGCCTTTTAATGCCTCACTCTTAGATTCGAACTCACAGCCAAAAATCACCAGCTATTTGAGGAAATCTTCTATTACAAAAATATAGAGACCAAAACAATTGAATAAAGAACTTAAAAGAAACAGACAAGGGTGGAGCAGGAGAAATCTGAAAAAAAAAAAGAAAAATGGGGCAGAGGAAAGCATACAGGAAATGTAGCAGTGGAACCAAGTGGAGCCCAGGTCAGCGGCTGTGGAGCAGGCCTGGAGGGCAGCCAGGCCAACTGGAGCAATAGCACAGAAGATTCTCAGGGGGACATTGCTGGGAGGGTTGGGGTCCTGAGGAGCTAGTCCAACAGGTTGACATGCAGAAATTTGTATTGCGAGGCCATTGGAAGGTATGGATAAAATTAGGATACAGTTGACTCTTGAACAACACAGGGGTTAGGAGTATTGGCCTCCCCTCCACCCACCACCGGCAATAATTTTTGACTCCCCAAAACCTTTTTTTTTCTTCACCTTTTATTTTAAGCTCAGGGTTATATGTGCAGGATGTGCAGGTTTGTTGCAGAGGTAAACGTGGGCCATGGTGGTTTGCTGCACAGATCATCCTGTCACCTAGGGATTAAGCCTAGCGTTCATTAGCTGTTCTTCCTGATGCTCTGCCTCCCCCCACCCACCCCCCACCTGTGACAGGCCCCACTGTGTGTTGTTCCCCTCCATGTGCCCATGTGTTCTCACCATTCAGCTAAACATGAAGTGTTTGGTTTATGTTCTTGTGTTCGTTTGCTAAGGACAATGGCTTCCAATTCTTTCCATGTCCCTGCAGGGGACATGATCTCATTCCTTTTTATGGCTGCATTGACTCCCCACAACCTTAACTACTAAGAGCCTCCTGTTGACTAGAAGCCTTACAGATAATATGAACAATGGATTAACAACATAAATAGATTAGTGTCTACATATATTTTATGCATTCATGACAAACCTAATTTTTCTTAATTTTTTGGATATTTTTAGACTGTGCAGTTTATCTGCTAAAACTACAAAAATTCACCTGGCATGGTGTTGGGGGGCCGTAATCCCAGCTACACAGGAGGCTGAGGCAGGAGAATTGCTTGAACCTGTGAGGTGGAAGTTGCAGTGAACAGAGATGGTACCCCTGCACTCCAGCCTAAGTGATAGAGCAATACTCCATCTCAAAAATAAATAAATAAAAATAAAAGATAAACTTTAAGCAGTCCTGCTTCTGTGTACATGTCACTGATAGTTTGATGTACATTTGATTAATACTACATTTTGTCCAGCATGTGGCTGATGTCCTTGTCAGGCTCATTTGTTTAAATCCATTTTAATTTGTTCATGGAGCAATTAACTCAGACTCACCTTGTTGGAAGTCATGCTGAAGATATATTTATCATTTCCTCCTACATCATGGAGACAGATTGGACTGTGGCTCATGCTTGTTGAGGTTGTATGCTTATTAAAAATGGAGTAGATGTATGTGATATTAAATTGAGCTTTTTAATTTCCTTAGATTTAATGACATACCTTTGCCATGTACTTAATCTCAGCAAATATTCACCCATCCGAAATTGGCAGATTGCAATTTATAACTTGTCATGTCAAATGAAACATTTTCTCTTTTCTTTGCTCCTCGAAAGATCTCTGCTCAAAATTATAATCTTTTAAAAAATAGCTGACACATTCTCCTTAGTGGGGAGCATTCAACGTTTCTGTCCTGTGATTTGAAACTGACCCTTCTCACTCCTCTTCAGCTTTAGCCTATACTTATTGATATATTTATTTTGGTTACAGTTTAATGTTTTTATTCTGACTTCTGGGTCATAGAGAGATGAATGGGTAAATGGAGAGATGGATGAGTGGATAAATTAGATGATTGAATGAATGATAGATAGATAGACAGATAGATAGATAGACAGACAGGCAGACAGACAGACACAGACAGACAGACAGAAAAGCAGATCAAAGTATACCAAAGATGTGTGGAAGTACGGGTTCAGATAACAAAGAATACACCACAAGCTTTAGTCTCAAGCTCCCTAGACCATAAAACCTTATATAATGGTCAGCTTTCCAAAGCAGAGGCTAAATAACTGTCATTCTATTGCATCCAACATAGCGTCCCAAACTTCGTTGATGTAGGATTAATAAGATGAAAACAGGTAATGTGTGTGTTTGTATGCATGTGCATGTACATACATAAATATATTTTTAATTGGGATAAAATTTACATATAATAAAGTACATAAATCTTATGTGTTACAGTTTGGTGAATTTTTATATATGTGCATACCCACATAACCACTACCTAGATCAAGATGTAGAAAAACAGAAATTTGCATGAAAGATTTATTGTGTGCATGAGTGTTTTGGGTGCCCCTTTAAGAGCTAAAGTTTCAAATGCATTTGGGGTTTTGCCACTTAGAGGTCAAAAAAATTTAGTCTTCCAGATTGACCAGTATAATTAGGTTATCTTTCTCTCTCTTTTTCTTCATAGCATCCTTCAAATTTGTATTCCTTTTTAGGTTTATGCATTTATATGTGAAATGAAATTCAGGGAGAACCTTAGGTAAAAGAAAATTCTAAAATGTCAATAAGGCAGTAAATGTTATCAGTAATAACTCCATGACTCATGATTTCTGCCTCTGTCTATCTTACGATTGACATAATTTATTGACTAAAAGAACATTTAACTGCTTTCTTTAAGCTTAAACAGCTTCTTTCTCATGATCTCTTCAAAGAGTGAATATCATAAAAGAGTAAAAATAATTATTTTCCCTTTTTTCCAAGAGTCTTTGGAACAGATATCTTGGTCTGTGGGCCAGTGGCTGCACAGTCGGTATTGCAGTGCAGAGACTATTAGAGCAGCAGGCATGAGCTGAGTTAGGAAGATAAAGTTATTTCCAAAAGCAAATGGAAATAGTTGACAACAGAGAAAGAGAACATTGTCTACAAAACATTAATAGCCTTTACAATTTTTATAAAACCAACCTGGAACAACTTTGAAGTTGAATGATTTTGCATAACTGGCTTATTATGGAATGAAACTTTCAGAAACAAAACGTAGAATGGAGATGAACTGTACTTTTAAGATGATCACATGTGATCTGAGATCAAAGTCTGGCGTTGGAATACTGTTTTAAGGATAGCTGGACTACCTTGGTGAGTTAAACAGATGTGTCACCACAGGAATCGAAAACGAAAACCTTGAAATTTTATGTAGCTCCTTCCTCTACCTTCAGATAAAATCTCTGTACATCAGCCTAGGTGATATGAATGTTGTCTACTTCAAGCACTTTTAGAAGATGAGCTTTGGATATAAGGGCAATCTGGCTATGACATTTATTATTTTGGTTGATCTGGCCAATTAAAAGACTGATATCTTAACTCCCTCACCATTGCCTGCATATCCCTGAGTTGGTAATTATTTTCTTGGAACTTTGAAGGTCTGTTTCATTGCCTTCTTGCTCACGCTGCCACTATGGAGGTGTCTCATGCAACTTAATTGTCATTCACTTATGAATAATTTGTCTTTCCTCTCAGGTTGTTCGTAGGATTTTAATCTGCAGTTTTATCTATGGCCTAGCCCTAAATTTCCTTTTATTTATCCTGCTTACAGAACATTGTAATTGATACATCTGAGGATTTGTGCTTTTATCAGTTCTGAGAAATTCCCACCCATTAACTCGTCTCATTGTGCATTGCGTTTCCTTCGTTCTCTCTGTTCGCTGTTTCTGAAATTCCAATTATATGCATGCTGGATCATCTCACTTTGACTTCCATATCTCTTTTTTTTTCTTTCATCTCTCTGGCTCTCTATACTAAATTATAAGTAATATCTTCAACTCTGATTTCTATTTTCTAATTATCTTTCCACTGGAGTCTAGTCTCGTTTTACCTATTTGCTGAGATATAAATACCTTTTCCTCTAATTTTTCTTTTTCTGTAATTTAACATTTTTTATTGTGTTTTTGTTGGTTCTTCTCATTTACCTGTTCATTTTTTGTAGTCTCTTCTTACTCAAATTTTCAATTTCCTATTATATTTCTTTAACATATTAAGCATATTTGCCTTAGATCATGATTCCGTTAATGGCAATATCTGAAGTTGCTATGGGTCGCGTTGGCTGGCTCTTTTAATTTACTCCCACTCAGTTAAGGTACAGTTTGGGCCACAAACACATGTGAGTTCTGGCTCATGATTACATTTTTTTCTTCTTTTTTTTTTTTTGTTTTCCTTTTATTTTCTTTTATCAGGTTAAATCTTGGGGGAGATATTTCTTTCTCTCTCTACCCAGAGCCAAGACAAGTTTTCTTAGTCTGTTTGTTTTGTTTTACTACAGACCTTTACAAAGCATATTTCTTTCTCTAGTTCACTTTTTTCAGGGGGTGTAACTTCAGGGTTCTCAGCTTTATGCAGTCATTTCTTGTTAAGCACCCCAACCTTGCCATGGCCCTAGGCTCTGTGTCCTGACCGCTGTATGGACATTGAAGCTGACCTGCTAGTTCTCGACTCCAGCTCAGGGTTTACAGACCTCTCAGAACTTCTATTCTCATTTTGCTTTTGGTCTCTAAAGGTTTCCTTGCTTTGTTACCGCTCAATCATGCATTTAAAAATACTTTTCAGAAACATTTTATCTAGGCCTTTTATTTTATTTTATTTTTTTTGACACGGAGTCTTGCTCTGTTGCCCAGGCTGGAGTGTAATGGCGTGACCTCAGCTCACTGCAACCTCTGCCTCCCAGGTACAAGCTGTTCTCTGCCTTGGCCTCCCGAGTAGCTGGGATTACATGCATGTGCCACCAGGCCTGCTAATTTTTGTGTTTTTAGTAGAGACAGGGTTTCACCATCTTGGCCAGGCTGATCTTGAACTCCTGACCTCATGATCCACCTGCCTGGGCCTCCCAAAGTGCTGGGATTACAGGCATGAGCCACCACACCCGGCCCTTTATCCAGCATTTTCAGCTGTTTGGTAACAGGGAGGATTTTCAGAATATCTTGTCCACCATATTCTTTTGTCAAAAATACATAACTGTTTCTGCAACCACACCTCTCGTGTGAAGGTGGAAATTCAATTGCATATATGCCTCACTTCTGGCCCTTAATAACTCATGTTAGAAAATTTCTCAACAAAAATGCCATACAAACCACTCGTGGCCCATTGTTTTCTGTCACTTAGCCTCAGTTTTCACCTCTCTGTGCGTAGTCTTTTTCTGCAGAAGTTGTATTATGCAAATTTTAAATTTTGTGGCTATTTTCCAGTTTCTCTGAGTCTTCTGTGTCCTCTGATGCTGTGTGCTTCATTCAGCAGAGAAGGCTCAAAGCTTTGCTCTCCTTAAATCCAAGTGTAAATGCGAGGTATGGGTGTTGAGAATTATCTCCTACAACTGATCTCATCTTGCTTGTTAAACTCAGCACTGCAGTTCTGCCTCAGCCGGTAGTCACTCTGTAAACCCTAGATCTTCTCTGCCTATTTTCCCAAGCTTTTGTTTTATGTTTAATGCTGCCTGTTTCTCCTTCTTCAATGTATTTACTAACTCAAACTTTTCCTGAAACTCTTTGCTTGATTTATAGCTGTCATCACCTTACAAAAACCACTGCCACCATCAGGCTCTCTGGAGGTTGAGTCATTTCAGTTCCACCCACATCCTGGTGCTGGTCCCCCTTGGAGGATATGTTTGGGGATAGCTGGAGGGCTCCACCAGCCTGGGCTTCTGTGTGTGACACTCCCACACACTGAAGCGCACCTGCTGTTTCTGCCCACGCTGGGACCGTGTTTACTTTGCAGAGGGCGCACCAGGGACCTCTGTATAGTCATAGTCCTCCTGCTGTGAGATGGGTAATGTTCACTATGATTCATCCCCTCGACTCTGGTGCCAAGATGGGGCAGTAGCGACTGGTAAAGATTATGTTCCTTCCAGTTACAAATAAATGCTTGTTTGTCTGGCATTTCCGTTTGATATATCTATCACTGTGTAATTGTGTGTGTGTGTGTGTGTGTGTGTGTGTGTGTGTGTGTGTGTGTGTGACTGAATCTCACTGTGTCACCCAGTCTGGAGTACAGTGGTGCAATCTTGGCTAGCTGCAACCTCTGCCTCCCGGGTTTAAAAGATTCTCATGCCTCAGCCTCCTGAGTAGCTGGGACTACAGGCATATGCCACCATGCCTGGCTAATTGGTTTGTATTTTCGGTAGAGTGGGGTTTCACCATGTTGGCCAGGCTGGTCTCCAACTCCTGACTCAGGTGATCTACGCACCTTGGCCTCCCAAAGTGGTGGGCTTACAGGCATGAGCCACCACGCCCAGCCAGACATGTATTAGTGGAAGATTCACAGTTCACTTTGAAAAATCCCAGATGTTAAAGAATAAGCACCTTAATACTCTAACAACTCTGCTGTGGGTACTATTCTTGTTACTAAGGTAATAATTACAATGTATCTTTTATTTATGGAGCACTTGCTATGTGCTGGGCTTTATGCTAATAAATCATTTAATCCTTACAACAGTCCTATGAGGTAGGAGCTGTTATTATCCCCATCTTATAGATGAGGACCTGGAGAGTCAGAGATGTGAAGTAACTTGCCCAGGATCATATAGCGAGTAAGGGGCTTGCTAGGACTCAAACTCAAGGCTTCTTCCCAAGTCCATGCTCACAAACCTCTCTTCTGTTAGGACAAAATCAGATTTCTGATTCGTGACAATGTACTCTTGCAAAGGCCAGAACTAAATCTACCTTACAAGGTAACATATTTGAAAGTGTAACTGTGTTGCCTGCATTGCACAGAACTGATGTTAGAATACCTTTGTGAGAACCGCTTTAGGAACCAGCATGTGTAACATAAGAAAATCAATTTTCTTTTGTAGATAAACCTTGCTTTTCACCCCAGGCCCTGCTATCCTGCTTGATCACCTACATTATTTACAGATTTCACTCCTCATGCCTCTTGACAGTTTCCAGAAAGGCAATTCTGTCCCATGAGGATGGAGCTTTGTCACCAATGAGGACATTCAGAAGAAGTTTCCAGAGGGAGTGAAGATGCTTCCTTAGAGGCTCTGACAGGTTCTGAGCAATATTATTTTACAAATAAGAGCTTGGCTCTTGGGTTGATTACTTTAAAGGGGAAGTCCTCAGCTGTATCAGTACATCTTAGTGTGTTTACTATCCATTCTCTGACTTCACAGATACACTTAATGTCGACTTGATATGGAGTGAAATCTACTTGCAGAAACCCACATTTACAATAATTCTACTGCATAAAGAAAACGCTAGACTTTCTTCCTCTGTTACAGATGTTACCTTCTCTGAGAAAAGCTTATTGTAAATGTCAACACTGGAACTGGCTCTGTTTTGATAGGAATCTTGTTCTGTTTCTCTTTAAATCTTAAAACTACCAAATATTGACTTGTTGATTTAGACCGATTGTGGGAGGCCCCACAATCTCCTCTTGAAGGAAAAAAGGATCAGGTTTCTGCTTCCCCAGGAAACAGGGAATTATCTCTCTGCTGAATATGTATCAAGCAACACTCCCAGTGTCATTTTTAAAGTGCTCATATTTTTCTTACAGGTAAGGTTGACATTTGAAGCATCATCTTAATTAGCTACTCACATTTAACGTAACTCAGGGGGCAGCAGTAAACAGTGGTAATCAAAATAGTAATGTTGCCATAGCAACCAAGATCCTGCTCAATTGCTTTTCCTTTCTGCTTACCATCTAGGCAAGGATATGAAACAAATCTGCCAAAACCTCCTGTGTGAAATGAAAGTTTAAAAACCACTGGGGGAAAACATTCTTGAATGATTGTTTTAAGTGCTTCAGTGAAGCTCCTGGCTCCAAATGGCTCCTGAAGGAAACCGTGTCCCCGGTTCTCTTGTCTGACAGCTTTGCCTCCTGAGAGCTATTCCCTACAACGTGGACGGGATCAGGGGAATCATAGCTTTATTCCAGCTCCAGCTGCAAGGTCCAGGAAGTGGGAGAGTTGACCCACGTGATTCGAGCTATAAAGTGTTAGGTTCTGATCTCTTAACTTAGTTATTCCTTTATTGCAAAATGCAAAGCCATGCTGTTTTGAAACACGCCTTGAGAAGATTGAGGATTGTCAATCATTTTGATGCTGTAAGCCAGTTGTTCCTAAATTTTTATTATCTGAATCGTTTAAGGAAAGCCCTTGATCTCCCATTTGGCCCATCATCACCAGCACTGGTTCTAATAATGGCAAATGATAGCCATATGAAAATCATATTAGTTTTTTGTTGTTGTTGTTAATTATTGCATATCTTCGTATGAAGGTCATGTTAATGAAGAAAATTAATGAGCAAAGAGAACTTTTCCGTGTTCTAATTGCCAACCCCTTCACCCAGTGATTCTGGAGACTTGGTCTTGGTCTCAATTTTCTTATCTGGAAAATAAGACACAGTAGAGCCGGATATTTTCCCTCCTCTTGGATCCAGCTTGATACATGACTTCTTTATTAAATAGAATAGAAAAACAGTATCACCCTTTAGTAGTGATAAGCTGACACCATGAGGGTTGTCTTGCTTGAAAAAACAAAACAAACCCTGTGGCTTCTCAGGAGGTCCTCGCTTCACCCTCACCTTCTTTTTATTGCTTTCCATGTAAGAGACTGGAATAATCTAATTGTGAAATTAATCAAAGAGAAATCAGGCAAAAATGTTTTCTTTGTAATTCATTTTGTATGCCATTAAAAAGAAATAAGATGAAAAGAGAGGGAGTGAAAAAAGGGTAGAAAAATGGTCAGGAATATGAATAAGCAGTACACAGAAAAGGAAACCCAAGTGGCCCATAACTGTATGAAAAGCAGCTCTGCCACACAAGTTGTCAGGGAAATGCAAACCTAAATCCGAGATACAGCTTTAATGTCTGATAATATCAGAATTTGGCAAAGATGGGGAGAAACAGGAAAACCCAAACACTGCTGGTGGGAGTGTAATTGTTATTATACAACCACCTTGGAGAGCAATTTGGCAGAATCTAGTCAAATTGAAAATGCACATTCCCTTCGATTTCGTAATTCTACTTTTGGATAAATTTCCAAAGAGAGTCTCCTCCTGATACATGTGCACAAGGCAGTAGGTATCAGGAGGCTCACTGAAGCCTTATTTGTGATAATAAAAAATTAAATACAGCCTACTTGTCTATCAGGAAGAGAATGGATGAAAAATAATGTAGCATCTTCCTATATTAGAGTACTATAAAGCAGTTTTACATAATAAACAATGGCTAAAAGTAAAAAAAATCATAAAGTCAGATGTAAAACTTTGTATTTTGAAAACAAAATGCAAAACTTTGCATATTGAAAGTTAAAATGCCTACCACGCACAAAACAGCACTCTTGCATATGGATACGTATATATGTGTGTGTATGTGTGTATATATTTATATGGCATCAAAAATGGGCTGGGGGTGGAGTGCAATGCCTAACAAAGTTCCTACCACACAGTTATGTCCCGGAGGACTGAAATTGATGCTGGAAATCATCTCAGTCCATGTTATAAAAAATAAGGTATCTACAGACTTTTGCTTTTGGCTAAACCTTCCATGGATTTGTCCTACAATACTCCAAGCCAATCCTCCTTTCCTTTTCCCTCTTTTCACTACTGGCATTTTTCCTACTTCCTAGCCATTCAAACCTTTTGGTTACTGTCCAGCAAGTGAACTGGCCCTGATTCACTTCAACTCATCGGCACCTCACTTGAGATCTCTTCTTGGTTTAGTCTGGCTTTTCCCTGCTGCATAATAACACGAGGGCTGGAGTTCTGGGGCACCTTATATCCTATCTTATTAATTCCATAAAATCAGTGACGGAAAAACAATAAGCTTAAGCCTCCTTTGTCCTGATTGCAACCCTGCCATCCAGGGTTCATACATTTTAGAATTTGCGACTGTTCCTTTAAAGGATAAATCCACATCCTCACAAAGGGAGAGTGTGTGGATATCAAGATATTTAATCCAAATTAACATTTCAAAGGGGTGGATGGTTTGCTCAGGTGCTTTGGAAACCACAGTCTCTGTACTTGTTTATATCTGAAAGTTCAAATTGAATGAATCACCCAGAGGGCAAGTGGCATATGCTGTCACCCTTCATCCTAATGACAAACAGATGCCATGGGCAAAGGACAGGGTCCTCTAAGAGGCCATCATGGAGGAATAAAATGAATGCTGGGGAAAAAAAAAAAAAAAACAAAGACAGCTGTGATTAGTACATAGTCCTAAAAGTAGGTGCCAAGGCAATTTAATAAGACCAGTGTTCTGGTTTGTAAGAAGTCTTCTACTTTGGCATTTTATATTTTCTTGAAAAATTAAAATGTTCTAAGTACAGAGAGCTATAACATCCAAGCTCATACCACCCCAAACCGGCAATTAACACAATGTCCTATTTGCTTCAAAACTTTCTTCTTATTAAACATTTAAATTAAAGTTGACTATTTCTTCACAGATATTATAGGTTGGTGCAAAAATAATTGTGGTTTTGACACTGACCAAAACTGCAGTTACTTTTGTATCAACCTAATAATCTGATTGCTTCTAGCCTCCCTCACCTTAAAAAAAAATTAATCTTGGCTCACTGCAACCTCTGCCTCCTGGGTTCAAGTGATTCTTGTGCCTCAGCCACCCGAGTAGCTAATTTTTGTATTTTTAGTAGAGGGGGGTTTGCCATGTTGGCCAGGCTGTTCTCAAACTCCTGGCCTCAAGTGATCTGCCTGCCTTGGCCTCCCAAAGTGCTGGGATTTTTTCAGTCACCCTAGTGAGTACCAGTCCCTCTTGTAAGAGCACACTTTTATAGAAAGCAACGCCTGAAGTTGAAAGAAGTGTTTACCTGGCTTCTTAGCCTAGCCCCCAAGCTCTCCAGAGCCTAAGTCAATTTCTTCCTCTCTCATAAGCATTCTCTGCCCCTTCCAGACCATCCCTCACTAGGCTCGTGGGCATTCTCATGTCTGCACCTAGCACTGGGCTTCCCCTCCATGAAGCAGCTTTCTTCTTCAGCCTGGTCTATCTGAGGATGACTCACCTTCCCAGTCCCAGCTTTTTTATTTTTTAATTTTTTTTTTTTTTTTTCTGAGACAGAGTCTTGCTCTCTTGCCCAGGCTGGAGTACAGTGGTGTGATCTTGGCTCCCTGCAACCTCTGCTTCCTGGGTTCAAGCAGTTCTCCTGCCTCAGCCTCCGGAGTAGCTGGGATTACAGGTGTGTGCTACCACACCCAGCTAATTTTTGTATTTTTAGTAGAGATGTGGGTTTTACCATGTTGTTCAGGCTGGTCTTATACTCCTGGCCTCAGGTGATCCACCCACCTCAGCCTCCCAAAATGCTGGAATTACAGGCATGAGCCACCACACCTGGCCAAATTAAAGTGTTTTAAACATACAAGTCAATTATGAGCATTAGTTTAAAGGGGGACCTGTGACTATTTTTAGAGCCACATGATCCCAGGGGACCTCCAGCGGACAAACCAAGGAAGCAAGGCCTGGGAACTTAGGAGTGTGCCATGCAGGGCCCTGAAAGAGGGCAGCTTCCCATCCAAGCAGCATGGAAGGAGACCTAATAAGCCACATACTGTTTCTTTCCTTAAATCCTGATACTTTTTCATTTTTAAAAACTTAAGTCTTGGCCAGGTGCTGTGTCTTACACCTGTAATCCCAGCACTTTGGTAGGCTAAAGTGCGCAGATCATGTGAGCTCAGGAGTTTGACACCAGCCTAGGCAACGTGGCGAAACCCCATCTCTACAAAAAATACAAAAAAAATTAGCTGGGTGTGGTGGTGCGCACCTGTAGACCCAGCTACTCAAGAGGCTGAGGTGGGAGGATCGCCTGAGCCCAGGAGGTGGACTTAGGCAGTGAGCTGTGCTTGCACGGTGGCACTTTAACCTGGGGGCAACAGAGCAAAACCCTGTCTCAAAAAAAAAGTCTTAGATTTCTTTCAGCTCCTTAACATCCTTGAAACCACACATAGGTCCTCTTAATCAGCACTTCCTAGTAAAAGAAACTGTGGACAAATCAGGCAGGGTGGGTGGGTGGCTGCTGATTCAGATGCATGCAGAGGGCAGAATTCTAAATATCAAATCCATTTAGTAGAAACTTGTCATAGTTGAAGGCAAAAATGTTTCACAGAGATGAAATCCTGCTGTGCATTTACGAACCACAGAAATAGCCGGGGAAGCTTCTCTGGAAGAATCCATCACTAGATATTGGGGTTTCTAAAGGCCGATGGCATCTCTTGCAGAACACAACCATTAATCTCAAGGGCCCCATGCCAGCTGACTGTCTTCTGAATTCAAATAAGCACCCATAACTCCTACAGAGAGAAAAATATTTTTAGGTGTATAAGAATCTCAAGTATCTGGCTGGGCATGGTGGCTCATGCCTATAATCCTAGCACTTTGGGAGGCCAAGGTGGGTGGATCCCTTGAGGCCAGGAGTTTGAGACCAGCCTGGCCAAGATGGCAAAACCCCATCTCTATCAAAAATATAAAAAATTAGCCGGGCATGGTGGCATGCACCTGTGGTCCCAGCTACTCGGGAGGCTGAGGTGAGAGGTTCATTTGAGCCCGGGTGGTTCATCTCAGCTGCAGTGAGCTGAGATCATGCCACTGCACTCCAGCTTGGGTGACAGAGTGAGACCACGTCTCAAAAAAAAAAAGTTGGGGGAGGAATCTGAAGTATCTGTATGTTATCTCTTTTCTTGTTGGCAAAGAGAAAATTTAACAATGGGATGCCTGCAAAAGCATTGTGGTATCAAGCCCTGCCCTCCTCCTTTTCTTCTCGTAAAGTTTTAAAGAAATCCTATTCATGATGGAAAATATATCGAAATAAAAAGGGTAGTTTTGTTCAATTTAGATAATCCCAGAATCATTGGGACCAGTGCCAATGGCTTTTACCCTCAAACATTGTTGAAGGGAAAAAAAGCCATCTCAAGGTCTGAGAAGGAAAAATGCATAACTCAAATAGGTACTAAAAAGAAGGGTGTTGTGCAGGGAATGGGGACCAACAGCAAAAGTGTCTCTCTCTCTAATTTTTTTTTTTTTTTTTTTTGAGACCGAGTCTTTTTGCCCAGGCTGGAGTGCAATGGCACGATCTTGGCTCACCACAGCCTCCACCTCCTGGGTTCAAGTGATTCCCCTGCCTCAGTCTCCCATGTAGCTGGGATTATAGGCATGTACCACCACGCCCAGCTAATTTTGTATTTTTAGTAGAGACAGGGTTTATCCATGTTGGTCAGGCTGGTCTCAAACTCCCAACCTCAGGTGATCCACCTGCCTCAGCCTCCCAAAGTGTTGGGATTATAGGCGTGAGCCACTGCTCCCGGCTGGTAGCAAAAGTCTCTTAGGGAGCTCAAGGCAAATCAACGTAATACAATGCAATGGGATTCAACATTAAGTTCCCACTCCTTTCAAGATCCATCCTTTGAGCCAGGGGAGGGGTGAGGGGTCGGGAGACATAATTGGTATTTGGGGGAAGGACCATTTTTTGTCCTGTGCACTGTAGAATGTTTATATCCTCGACTCCACTCACTAAATGCAAGTAGCACTTTGCAGTCCCTGACACAGAAACATCCCTAGAGTCTCCTTGGAGACATTGCTATCCCCTTTTGACAGCTGTACAAGGTTGGGCTATATTAACAGAATAAGGTGGGGTTTGAACATAGCTGTGAGAATGCACCACTGAGCAGGAACTGACCTAGTACCCATCATTCTTTCCACACATGGGCACATCAGGAAAGGAAAAGCAGTTAGCTTCATTTGCTGGCAAAGAAACGGTGACATCCAAAAAGCTATAACAGCCTCATGATTAGAGAGGAGGCTTTATAGTTTGTAGAACAGCAAATTTTAAAAGGAAATCAAAGACTGAAATGGAATGCAGGCAGCGTTCAAAAGAACTGACATAGTAAATTACTCAACCCGTATGTCATTGGTCTTCTGAAGGGGAAGAGTTGTTTCTCTGAAGACGACTGGCAGACTGCCTGACATGTGCATGAAAAATATAGGAGATAGCTGGCTTTTAGACTCTTTTGTGGACACTGGACTTCAAAAATTTAAAATTAAATAATAAAACACACATGAAAATTAAAAATCCTGCATATCAAAGCACATTGACTATTTACTTACCAAGTACGTGCCATGTTGCTTGGAGTTTTCTATATAAGTGGACAGTTTTGGGGGTTCAACTTTCCTAGTGTTACTGCTGGGGATACCCTGCTCTCTCCCACCCATCCCATTAGCCCTTCCCAGCTTCTGTCTTCTAGCCATTACCCCCACCAGCCCCTTCCCAGGACAAGGTCATCTTCGGGGAAGAAGCGGGGAAGGGACCCCTCATCCTGCCATCATGGGACCCTATTCCTTCTCCCGTCTCCCTTCAACTTTCTAACAGCAACGTCATTTGTTGGGCAACTACCCGAGCTAAGGCTTTTTATTTTATTTGGTTGCTTGATAGTAAAGTAGGCCACCAAAGGAAATTTTAACATCTGTCTCTCCAAGGTTTCTTTTAATTTTTTCAGAATTTTTTAAAACCAAAAGCCCTTTTTCATGAATTATTTGAGATTTGCTCACTTGAAGGCCATCACTCCTGATTTTGTTACAATGACATTCTCTTCTAAAATGCAATAAAAAAATGAAAAGCAAGAAATTAACATGATCCATTACTACCATCTAATCCTCAGACCCCATTCACAGCTCTCCAGTTGCCCCAATAATGTGCTTTGCAGTGAAAAGATACGGTTTAAACATTTTTGTGTGTTTGGCTGTCATGGCTGTTTTTAGCCTCCTTCTGGCTGAGACAGTAGCTCAGTCCTTCCTTGGTTTTCACAAACTTGGCACTTGTGAGGAGTACAGGCCAAGAACTCCTCCCCTGCTGCTTCTATGCCATCAGGACCAGAAAGAGACCAGCATCTGCCTCCCTCCCCTTCCACCCATCCTGGAGGCTTCAGTCCAGCGACAGGGTGGTTGGGAGGAACTTGGGCAGAAGCTCTGGGCATAGCAGGGCCAAGGAAACTTCCTTTACTATTCCTTAAAAAATAATGAGGGGCCTGGGACATATTTTTGTGTTGTTGGGGTTTTTTTTTCACTGTTGTTTTGTCTTGTCTTGTCTTGTTTTGTTTGAGATGGAGTCTTGCTCTGTCACCAGGAGTGCAGCGCAATCTTGGCTCACTACAACCTCCACCTCCCAGGTTCAACTGATTCTCCTGCCTCAGCCTCCTGAGTAGCTGGGAATACAGGTGTGTGCAACCACACCTGGCTAATTTTTATATTTTTGGTAGAGATGGGGTTTCACCATGTTGGCCAGGATGGTCTCAATCTCTTGACCTCATGATCCTCCCACCTCAGCCTCCCAAAGTGCTGGGATTACAGGCATGAGCCACTGAGTCTGGCTGGGACATAGTTTTAAGCTTTCTGGAAACTAGTGTAGTGGAAATACCATCCTACAAATTCTTTACAAAGCATGATCTCTGTTTTGGGTTCCCCTGGCCACTCTGAGTTCTCTCTCTCTTCGAGCTTACAGGCTGGGCCTCAGGCTGCTGAAGAAAGTCCAGTGGGCAGAGGAGGAGAACTGGAACCAGCCATGGAGACATTTAGTTTCTATTTCTTCTCACCACTTGGACTTTGTTCATCAATCTGCTTCTCTATTGCCATGGTCCTTTCAGAATAAGATTGCAGGTCACCTCCTCTGAAGAGAGAGCATGCACTCATTCTGCTACCCTTGCACTGCACTGTCCACTGAGTCCATGCTGTCTCAGTTAATGTCACTATCCATTTCATATCTGTGTATGTCCTATGACTATATTTCACTTGTTTAATGTCTATAATGATGTCCCTTCTTCCTACTTAGGTCCCTTAGATGAGGGACATGGTCTCCAGCGTCCATCTGTATATCTTCAACAACTTTTAATGAGTTGCCTGAATATCAGCTTTGTATAAATATGTGTTGAATGGATGAATGCTTGTCCATGTGTAGGCCTGCATGTAACTCAAAGAACACATGTCCACATTCTTTTTTTTTTTCACTTTTTAGTTTTTTTTTTCTTTCTTCGTGATGTCCGCATTCTTTTAGGATGTGCTGATGCTTTTGGATAATCTATTTCTCTTTATATTACCATAGACATTCTAGAAGAGAGATTGTTTAGTAAAACCCTCATTTTGAAAGTGGAGAAAGTTGAAGAGCAGAAAGGTTGTATGACTTGTCCAAGCTGTCATTTCCAGCTAGTAGCAAAACTAGGCCCAAACCAAAATCCCACCTCCTTTCCTAAAGCTCCACCCACTGCACCGTGCACCTTCCTTCAGCATTGGCAAGTACAGCTATGTTTATTATAGCTACTGATTGAGTTTGTTGGGGCAGGGAAATGTCAAAGCTAATGATTTATTAAAGCTTTTATCAGGGTCAGGCATGGAGGTCCAAGAGCAGGATGCCTGCCTGGTCAGCTTCTGGTGAGGGCTCCTTTCCTGCCTTGCAGACAACCGCCTTCTCACTGTGTGTTCACTTCCTCTTATAAGGTTACCAATCCTATCAGATTAGGGTCCTACCTATATGCCTCATTTAACTTGAATTACCTCCCAAAAAGCCCTCTCTCCAAATATAGTCATGTTAGGGGTTACAGCTTCAACATGTGAATTTTGTAGGGACACAATTCAGTCCATAGCATAGTGTTAGCATAAATAATTTGCAAACACCTTTGACATACTATAATATGACGTGAAAATAGTTGTTATAGTGGGAAGGGTCACCCACCAGGTTACTTGAGAGTGAATGTCTGCTGCTTGAACCCTCAAGGCTGGGCAGTGAGCTAAGGCTGTCGTGCCCCACTGAGGAGCAGGTATCCTTGAGAACCCAGACATCCTGGAGAGAATCTGAGAACCTACCAAGGAAAACAGTCCCATCGTGCACACGCGCGGATCTCTAGAGCTATCCTGCTAGCATCCAGGAGTGTCCTGTTCATAAGCCCTAATCAACTCATCTACTCATCAAGCTGGACTTGTCCAAGTTATTCTTTGGTCTTTCAACACCTTCCCAGTTTGGGGGTGGGCACTACAGTCTCAAGTTGTTCCCGTAACAGCTGAGATCTATTGGTGACAAAGCTATAGGTATTGCTATGAATACTGTGATTTGCTGCCTACATTCTTCATGGGAGGAAATGTGTAATTTCAGGTTGTGGTTAGTGAAGATACATAAATATATATGTATATTTTTTCCATCCAAGTTCACAGGCATCCTGAATTTCTATACAGGGAAATCAGGTTAAAAATCCATCACACAAGTACGTACGATGGTCTTGTTGTGAGACAGTGGCATTACCTCAGGATGGTGAAAACAGATTCTGAAATCAGCTGCTATTTCCCATTGCCAGTTACTCAGGAGTAGCGAGCATGTTGAACTGAAAATAGACATCCTCTGCTCTAGGTTTGCTTTCTGATATTTTTGATTGCTTGTTTGAGTATTGGAATGTGTTTTGTCCTCCAGACACCGGTAGCCTAAATACAGAACAAAGTAACTCCTGGGCCTCTGAGAACCTCTGGCTTGACCCTGCTGTGGAAGGCCAGTCAGAGAAGGAAGATGATGATGGCCTTCGGAAGTCCCTGGATAGATTCTATGAAATGTTTGGCCATCCACAGCCAGGCTCTGTGAACCCACTCTCTGCATCCGTCTGCAAGTGCCTGTCTCAGAAAATCACTCAACTAAGAGACCAGGAGAGCCAAAGGTATGTCCTCCGCAGTTTTCAAATGGCCCGGGTCATCTTCAACTGGGACGGCTGCTCTGTCTTACAGAGGCATTCCAGGGACACCCACTTCTACCCACTGGAGGAAGGAAGTACATCTTTGGATGATGAAAAGCCAAAACCAGGACTATCGAAAGATATTATTAATTTTCTCTTGCAGCAAAATGTAATGAAAGACCCATAACTGGTGCTGGGCAATGTGCAGGGTAGTTTTGGAGGTGCGGCGCCATGCCGGCACTGTTGGTGGCCTCCCAGATCCCCTAGGGTCTCTTGCTAGCTCTGTGTGCCCATCCCAATTAAGTGCTTTTTGGTTAAAGGCTGGCACCTGTGACCTGCTATTGGAGCCAGTCAGCCCATATGGAGAGCCAGCAGGGTTCTGGGAGTTCTGTGTCCCTGTGGCCACCCCACCTCCCACTCTCCTTGGCCAAGGCCACTGATTAACTGATTAACTGGGCTACGAGTCAAAAGCCCAGCTCCCTTGCCTCAAGAAAGGACGTTCTTCGAAGCATAATTTATGCTCTAGAAGTCCCTTTCCTTGAGATCAGGCTAAGGCTGGGACTTTACAAGAAATCACGCCCTTGCTGGGCATAACCCCTTTCCCTATCCTCCTCCCATTTATTTTCTGCTGCCTCTGGGAGCCTTTCCTTAATAAACTGCTTATCTCTGAATCCTTGACTTGGAGTCTACTTCTGGGAGAACTCAACCTAAGAGAACATGCTTCTGTGAGATGACATTTTAGAAGGAGACAAAGCTCTGCACTGAATCAGGTATAAGGAATTATATCAGGCTGTAGACCTGAGACCGTGTAATTGAGAATACAGGTCCTAAGATAATATAAAGATTGAAATACAGTTTAGAAAGTATATCACATCTTGATCACACTCTTGCCTCCTCTCCAAAGCTAGAAATCCATGTTTTATAATACTACTAACTGGGTGAGGAAGGAACATTTGGACCATCTAAAATAACAGCTAAAATTCAGTTTTTTAAGTCTCTTTGTCTCTTATCAGATTGCAAATAGGAAAGGTGAGAAGATAACAAATGTGCTTCACTGTATGTAAGCACAATTATGATACACTAGGCTGATGCCATGTGGCCTTGTCAAGTTGTGATTGAAGAAAATAAAGACTCCTTTGCCCAGGTGGGGCCCTACTTCCTCTTGTATTGTGCCTGCCTGCTGCCAGCACCCTCTGTCACCTTGTGAATGGTTGGCCCCTCACCCCTGCCCTTCCTCGCCTCCAGCACCCTGAGCTCCATTTGCAAAGACTTGCCCAGAGCAGGACTTCGTGGCCACCTTGTTCCTGTCCTCCAGCCCTGAGCCCTTCCTCACCAGGGAGCTCTTTAAATAGCCAGGGCAGGTTTGCACTGGCAGATGCTCCACTCTGCGGGTCATGTCCTGAACCCCCATTTGAGACTCAGTTGGTAGAATTACATCACCTGGCACCAGGATCTCTGAAGCTGCAATTGGAAGCCTCATGCTAATCCCTACCTCAGCAGTGCTTTAAACACATTGCATTGGCAGAATTGGGGAACATATATTGCTTTTTGCAGGGGGAACAACAGAAGAAGCTGGCAGCCCTGACCAATTAGATTTTGAGACACTTGAGGTGAAATTTAATTGGCCTAAGATTCCAAACGCTTTCCAGAAAGCAGATTATGCAAATGGGTTGGCCTAAGAGTATCCATTGAGAGTGAGTGTGTCATCTCAGGAAGGTCTCCCAGGGACTCTTGGATGGAGAGAGAAGCCTTTTAAAGGTTAGGAATGACACACTCACACTCAGGCTTCCAGTGCTGGGGAGATTAGGTATAAGAAACAGTGTTCCAGATTGAAATGTAGAGGCACTCCCTGGAAGGAGACCCACATGGTAGAAATGGGAAATGAGTAGGTCTTTGAGAGACACTGGAGAAAATAAGACTTCAAGTTTTCATCTGACGAGCAATCATCTGCCTCTTTGTCCATGAGTGTTTCCTATTCAACTGGCCCCCAAACAGTCGGGAAGCCAGGGGGACTTAGAATTGAAAATCTGACAATAAATTTTAAGGTAGCTAGTTTTACTGTTTTTTAATGAGAAGCTATTAATGGATGTCCTTGAAGAATGCTACCATTTTTAGTTTTAGTCAGTGCAATGCTTGCACTTAGTCTCCATGGCTACCTACAGAAGGAAACTGGATTATTTCATGTTTTTAAAAGAACAAAAAATACGAGCTATTTGAATCTCCATGTTGGGAAGCAGTAGCTTCTATCTGGCAGTGAGATTTTAATATCAAAAATTTCATAACCTAAATATGTGTGCCAAGGGTGCCCAGTGAGAGGTAAACCCGAAAAGTAGAGAATTTAGAAGCCTCAAAGCCAGAATCACCTTAGGGTAAAATAAGAGTGTGGTGTGTGTTTACCTGTATCTGAATAAGTGTTTGTGACAGGTCAGTTTATTTGATTTCTCTGCAAACTCACTGCTTAATTTGATCTCTGTGAGGTTAGGATGGCATTTTCCATTTATTTCTGTGAACCTTTAATAAAGACTAAGAAAGAGATAAGGATATTGAGGCTTTGGACTTTGACATTATTGTCTAGTTCTACAGATAAATTCACCAACATCTTACCATCTCATGAATGTTACGACTGCCTGTGATATCATCTGTGGTCTGTTTCAGACCTGTGGCCCTTTTCAGGTCTTTGTGAGACATAAGAACTAAGAGTGCATAAACGTCAGAACCCTAAAGAAGAGAACTGCTACCAGTGTCTTAAATTCGTGTGCTATTATTCATTTCATTAGTCTGTTTCTTTGTATAGCCTATGTAAGGACACATGTAGCAGCTCTCTTTACCAGTAATCAGCACAAAACAATACAGCTATGCTTTTTTTTAAATTTTTAAATAATTTATTTCAAAAAATAGAGACGGGATCTTGCTGTGTTGGCCAGGTTGGTCTTGAACTCTTAGCCTCAAGCAATCCACCTGCATCAGCCTCCCAAAGTGCTAGTATTACAGGTGTGAGCTACTGTGCCAGGCCAGCTTTTTAAACTTTTTAAAGCTTTTTAAACTTTTTGTTGGATTATAATAGTTACATAGAAACGTGCATATATTATACAAGTGAACACCTTGATGATTTTCACTAACAACTTAGCTGTGTAGCCAGCATCCTGATCAAGCAATAGACATTACCCACCAGCCCAGGCCCCCTTTTAAGTAGAGAACTGATGAGAACAGTTTGCCATGACCAGCATGCTGGTAGCACAAATAATTTTAGATATTATGTGAGAAAACAATGTTTATTTTAATTGCTAATCTATTCAGTTTAATATGTTAGAAAAATAGAACTACAACATCTAGCCCATGCTTTCAGATGTATTGCATAAGACAAGCCTAACACAAGTATTTGAAATTTAAAAGTGGACTGAATTAATTAAAAAATTAATAATAGTGTAGGTAACATACATGTCCAAAAGTATAAAAGTGGTATACCTGAAAATGACTGAGGTTTGGAATTCAGTGATGTATTAATCTGTTCTCATGCTGCTTATAAAGACATACAGAGACTGGGTAATGTATAAAGGAAAGATATTTAATTGACTCACAGTTCCATATGGCTGGTGAGGCCTCACAGTCATGGCTGAAGGCAAATGAGAAGCAAAGTCACGTCTTACATGGCGGCAGACAGGAGAGCTTGTGTAGGAACTCCCCTTTATAAAACCATCAGATCTTGCAAGACTTATTCACTATCATGAGAACAGCACGAGAAAGACCCACCCCATGATTAAATTACCTCTCACCTGGTTCCTCCCATAACACGGGATTTATGGGAGCTACAACTCAAGATGAGATTTGAGTGGATACACAGCCAAACCTCATCAAGTGGGATAGGTGACCCATCATACCCCATTAGTCTCCCACCATTGCTGTCCCAGATTGCTGCAAGAAACTTCCATCTGGTCAATCTATATCTACCTTTGCCTCTCTTTACCCTGAAGCCATAATGCAAATTCTTTTAAAAAGCTAAACATGCATGAATAGCCAAAAAACTTAAAAGAAGGAACTAACCTTCTCAAATGTGAATACATTTTTAACTCTATAGGAATTAAAGCAGCAAAAAAGGCATAGAAAAATGAAAAGAAAAGCGTATGGTCCATAATTGGTATAAGTGCATATGGAAATTGAGTGTATGGTGAAGGTGGCATTGCAAACCCATAAGGAAAAGGGTTTTTAGCAACTGCTCTTAGTCACTGGCTCCCCACGAGTGAAAAAAGCTGGATTCCCCACCTTATTTCTCATATTAAAATGAATATTAGATGATTAAAAACTCAAAGTAAAAAAATAAAATCACAAAAATGCTAGAATAAAACACAGGTGATTTCCTGCTGAGAAGTGGTGTGAAGAAAAGAAAATAAAAAAAAAAAAACACAGGAGATATGCATACATAATGGAGATATCTATTAACAGATCTATTACAACAGGGAAGATTTTTCTAAGACTGACACAAAACCTAAAAATCATAAAGGACAAATCTGATGAAAATGACTGCCTAGCCATATGTAAGATCAAAACTAGGAAAAATACTTAGAACACGTGTAGCAGAGAGATCTTTTTCAAAAAACAAGTCATACAAATCATTAGAAAAACAACCAAATAGAAACATTGAAAAAGGACCTGAACAGGTGGTTAAGAAAATATACATATAACTGTAATCCCAGTACTTTGGGAGGTCAAGACAGGTGGATCACGAGGTCAGGAGTTCGAGATC